AGAGTTTGATTTTGATTTTGGCATTTGAACAAGTCTGAGAATCTTTGCCATTTTATAGGATCATTTAGCTCATTTATGTTTAGTTATATAACATAAGATGCTATAGTCTTGCATTATGTTTTTTACATGCTTCTATCATAATTATGTGTTTTATGATCTATCTTTTGGTATGTGGACTATATTTTGTATGCTTATTTTCTTTAGTGTAAACTTTCCCTTCTATTTTTAACTCTAGTTATTTGTTACCAGCCATTCTATAGATGTATTTTCTAAGTATTATTGTCTGGAAAAATTTAATGGCTCTTGATTCCTCCTTGTATAAGATCAGGCAATTTTCATGCCTTTACTTCCATCATCATCTCTATTTCATCTCATTTTTCTGAATTTAAAATATAATTTTAGCAATACTATATTAATAGCTAATTTTTGTCTTTTTTTAATAATTAGTTTTGACATTTGCATTCCGTTTTGTAATAATATGTACAACAATCTTTTACAATTCTGTTTTAAATATATTTTACCAGTAAACTAAATTTGCTCATATTTTAGTTATTAAGAGTTTAAAATTATCTTTAAGGAAGCTAATTTTTGTTCTGAGTATTTAAAAAAATGAAATCAATAAATGCTTATGTATGCAAAGAGTCAAAAAATATTTCATTTGCCTTTACAAATTATTGGCAATTTAGCTATGTCTAGAAATTTTGGAAAAATGTGTCCTGCTAAAATTCCTTTGACATTCCTCTTACATTTTCTAGAGAAGCTTCATGCTAGCCTCATTTTATACTTGTATTTCTTAGAGCATTGTTTTAGGTCATTTTTATTCTCCATTTAATATTTTAAATTCAAATACTTACCGAGTACAGGTCTAGGAATTGGTCACATTAAGTTGGTAAATGCTTTTGATCTGCATCCTAGATTCATTTCTCAGCTCAGGACAGGTTATTGCTATTTGTTTGTTTGCTTGTTTTACATGCTTGCATTTTGTTTATAATTTTGATTTGTAAATACTTACTGTTTATCACTTGACCTCTGTTGTCTTTTTCTCATTATCAATCAGCACTCTTATTTTAAAATATCCCTATATCTTTCTCTTTTAGCTTAGAACTTCCTAGTTTTACTTCCATATCACTAATTGTGTGTGTGTGTGTGTGTGTGTGTGTGTGTGTGTAATTTTCAGCTCTAATACTTATGGCTTCTTAGATTAAAAAGTTGGCCATTGCAAATTTAGTTATCTTTTAACTATTTCTTTTTAAAAAATGAAACACAACATACCATACAACTCATCCATTTAAAGTGTATGATTCAGTGGGTTTTTTTTTAGTATATTCACAGACATGTACAGCCAACACTACAGTCAATTTTAGAACATGTTCGTGGCATCAAAAGAAACTTTGTATTTTAGTTATCCTCCCCTCCCCTACAACTCTACCACCACCCCACCAGCCCTAAGCCACCACTAATCTACTCATTATTTCTGTAGATATGCCTATTCTGGATATTTTATATAAATGGACTCTCAGTACAATGTTTTCAAGGTTCACACATATGTTGTAGCATGTATCATTACATCACTTCTTTTTGTGGCCAAATAATACTCATTGCATGAATATAATACATTTTGTGTATGCATTCATTAGTTGATGGAAATTTGGGTTATTTTCACCTTTTGGGTATTATGAATAATGCTGCTGTAGACATCCATGTACACATTTTCATGTGGACATATATTTTTATTTATCTTGGGTATATACTATAAGAGTGGAATTTCTGGGTCATATAGCAACACAATGTTCAAACACATGAGGAACTGCCTAGCTGTTTTCCAAAGTGACTGTACCACTTTACATTCCCACCAGCAGTGTGAGAGTTCCAGTTTCTCCTTATTCTCACCAATTCTTGTTATTATCATCTGTCTTTTTTATTACAGCTATTCTAGTAGGTGTAAAATGATATCTCATTGTGGTTTTGATTTGCATTTCTCTGATGACTAGAGCTATTGAGCCTCTTTGCATAAGTTTATTAACCATTTTTATATCTTTTTGGAGAAATGTTTACGTCTTCTGCCCATTTAAAAAATTGGGTTATCTTTTTTTGTTGAGTTATACAAGGCTTTTTAATACTGAATATTAGACCCTTATCAGATATATGATTTGCAAACATGTTCTCTCATTTTGTAGGTTGTTTTTTTCACCTTTTGGATAGTGTCCTTCAAAGCACAAACATTTTTTAAATTTTTATGAAGTCCAATTTATTGTAGTTTATGCTTTTTGTGTCATGTCTAAGAAACTATTGCCAAATCAAAGGTCATAAAGATTTACTCCTATATTTTCTTCTAAGCATTTTGCAGTTTTGGCTTTTTACATTTAGATATTTGACCCCTTTTCAGTTAATTTTTGCATATAGTGTGAGGTATAGGTCCCACTTTATTCTTCTGCATGTGGATACCCAGTTGTTGCTGTGCCATTTGTTTAAAAGACTATATTAATTTTTCCATTGAATGGTCTTGGCACCCACACTGAAAATTAATTGATCATAACTGAATGAGTTTATTTCTGGATTTTCAATGATTTTCCATTGGTCTATAGGTCTATCCTATGCCACTACTATGTTATCTTGATTACTGTAGTCTTGTAGTATGTTTTGAAACCAGGAAGTATGAATCTTCCAACTTTGTCTTTCTTTTACAATACTGTAAGATTGCTTTGGCTATTTTGGATCTGTTGCCATTTTAGAGTCAATTTTTCCATTTTTACAAAAAAATGGACTTTGTGATTTTGATAGGTATTACATAAAATCTGGAAATTGGGGTAGTATTCCATCTTAATAAATCAAATCTTCCAATCCATGAACATGGGATGTCTTTCCATTTATTTAGGTCTTCTTTAATTTCTTTCAGTAATTTTTTTTGTAGTTTTCAGTATACCAGTCTTGTTCCTCCTTGGGTATATTTATTTCTAAGTATTTTATTCATTATTTTTCTGAGACACAATCTCACTCTGTCACCCAGGCTGGGGTGCAGTGGCATGATCTCAGCTTACTGCAACCACTGCCGCCCAGTTTCAAGCAATTCTCTGGCCTCAGCCTCCTGAGGATCTGGGATTATAGGTGCCCACCACCATGCCTAGCTATTTTTTTTTTTTTTTTTTTTTTTAAGTAGAGACTAGGTTTCACCACGTTGGCCAACTGGGTCCCAGCTCCTGACCTCAAGTGATCCTCCCACCTTGGCCTCCCAAAGTTCTGGGATTACAGGTGTGCACCACCATACTTGGCTGACCTCCCATTTTCTACCACATTGAGTTTAAAATCCCTTGTTTGGCTTTTAAAGCCCTGAGTTCCCCACCCCTCAAAGAAAAAAAAAAAAACGATTAAAAAGTCAAAGGAAGGTTGGGAATGGGTCTGACTGTTCCTGTCGTTGGCAAAGGCCTCATGTCTCTGATATGAGGCCAAAATGTTTATCATTGCTTCCTGTGCACCAAACCTGTTTCTAAGTGCTTCATGGGTAGGTCATAGAGCCGTGCAGCACTCTATTATTACATTTTACAGATCACGAAAGGAGGCACAAAAATGTTAAATAACTTTCAAGGTCACACAGCTTCTGAAAGATGAAGTTAGCATAAAACCCTCAGCCCAATTCTGGATCCCTGGTTCCCATAACCTCTCCAGCAACATATCCTACTTTAAGTATCCTTTTCCTGCATCTGTGCCTATGGGCATCTCTTAACCCTGAGCATAAATTTCCTTTAGGGTCTGGCAGGCTATGAGTAACATTCCTAGTTTCTTTTGCAGTTGGAATTTTGTATCACATTGGGGTGTTTTTGTAAGTATTTCAGTAAGGAATGTGAATGCAGCCCCACTAGCAACTATCATCTTAATTCAGAAGTCCTCATGGAATTCTGTGAATATAAATTTGGTTTTAGTGACTGCACTTATTTTACAGATGAGAAAAATCAGAGCCCAGAATGACTAGGCAACCTCTAAGACATAGAACTAGTTAGCAAACCTGGGATGGGAACTTGAGCTCACCCTTACTTGGTTTGTTCCCTGCTATGCCTTGCCAGGTAAACTCTCTAATAAGTTGCTGAGGTACAATTGCATCTTTCCTTACCTCTTTCCAAAGTACATCCTCAAAAGCCACAGGCAAACTTTGATTTGAGTTTTTAGGCTGCTTGATTTCTACTTACATAGGAAAATGGAATGCACACCCTTACCTGAGAATTTCTCAAATTAGGCTGGTGACAAATACCTTTTAAAGCTCCTTTACTTGACATCCTATTAATTTTTTTTAAACTCCCATTGTTTTGTTCCTGACAGATCTGTTATGTTTCAGATGTGACACAAATGTACACTTAGGGGGAAACTTCTTTAATAAGTGATATTTGCCTCAGACTACTGAGGTTATTTTAGAAAACAAAAGCCAAAGTACACTTACCAGGACATTCACCTTGTCATAAATTTATCTGGCATATTTAATTGATCGAGATTTCTGGGTTAGACAGTTATCAACGCATGTGATAAATTGTTGAGCATGCGGCATTAATGAAAGGTTTTGCCATTGTCATGGGGAGGAAGCTTCCTGGCACATGGGTGACAGGACCTCAGAGACAATGCCGCTTGGGTTAGCAGCTGGGGCAGGCTGCATTTTATTACATGTGTCCAGAGTCTCATAGTAGACATGTAGACTTGAGGAGGGGGAGGCAATATTTGTATCCCTACTAAAACCAATTATGGTAAACACTAATTATTCAGATTTGAGCTCTTTACTAAAAATCCCCTGAACTGGGTTTTTTAAGTCAGGCTGTCATGGCAGAGCCAAGCAGGAGAGAAAATAATGGAATAATTGGAGGCTGCTGTCTTTTCACTTCCCACATAAAATTATTTGAAGAGACAGGCCAGAACTTTAAACAGGAGATACCAAGAAAAGTTGTAATTTGGATGTCGGCTGTCATGACTTTAGGGTGTTTGCTTAAAGGACTTTCCCCCCACTTTCTCTTCTTCCCCAGACATACTTCAATGACAATATCCTCACCCTGATACGGACCCTGGTGACCGGAGGAGCCACACCGGAGCTGGAAGCTCTGATTGCTGAGGAGAACGCCCTTAGAGGTGGCTACAGCACCCCGCAGACACTGGCCAATAGGGACCGCTGCCGCGTGGCCCAGTTAGCTCTGCTCGATGGGCCATTTGCAGACTTAGGGGTGAGTCCGCAGCACCATGGTCACCTGAGCTTGCTGTTTGGGAAAAGCTTGATCCTGAAGAACGTGGTGTCAGATGTGACAAGCAAGGCATCTGTCTTTTCTCCTTCCTATTGTAGATAACTGTAAGAGGTGATATTTATGGTTTACTCTGTATCAGGCACTTTGTTCTATGCATAAGTCATTCATTTTAATCTTCATAGCAACTCTTTGATGTAAGTTCTAGTATCACACCTTCTAAGTCAACTGAGGCTCAGAGAGAATGAGCACTGGACCTATTGGGAATTTGCACCAAGGCATCCTGGCTTCAGAGCCTGTGGGCTTTCTCACTCCTTGGTGTTCTCTTCACGTATCCTCTGCACGAGGTGGAAGGCAGCAGGTGATTCCAGCATGCAGCCAAGGTTGGGAAATATTTCCACAGGCTCTTAGCATAGCTTAGGGATACTCAACCCAACTATACATTAGTAGCACATGGAGGTGGCCAGCCTCATCCTTCAGGTTTCTTAGATTTTATATGTGAGTATGACCCAGGCACTGGTGGTTTTCAAAGCACCAGGGTAGTCAGTAGTCAGATGTATCCAGAACCACCAGCCAAACAAACAGAATCTCATGTGGATCCTTTAATGCCTGTAATTCAAAACCTAGACCTTGTAATTTCTGAGACTGGACCCAGTCACGTTCCCTCGGGTCCTCCCTGTGACAGAAGTGGCCAGCATCTCCCTTCTGATTCCATGCGCCTGCCTAGCGTAGGCACTGTGACAGAAGTGTAGTGTCTTTGCCCTTATTCCCAGCTCAACCCCACAGATGCATTTAAGAGATGCAGCCATATTCATAGAAACTGATAAACCTGTTACGCAAACAATAGTGTTGCCCAGAAAGACTAAATAGTGGAAAAGGAGCCAAGGAAAGGGTCTGTCTCTGTTTTTTCTGAAACAATTCTGCATACTTGCCCCATATTTTAGTTTGATCATGGGCTGGGACTTATGTGAGACTAGGCTTTTTTTGAAAGGGAAGTTTCATAGCTAGTGGCTCTTTATACGTATCATTTACTTACTGATGCACTTGATTAGGATGAAGACTTTAGATAATGGTAAGCTTTGGTCCCATCTGTGTTCTTTAGTATGAGACCAATATGAGAATTCCAGTGATTGGAAGGACGAAGACAGTCATTTTATTCCCAGTGAAGCCATCCCGCAGTGCCCAGTGCCCTTCATGTAATACTGTTAACATCTACCTGAAGCCACCTGGCTGCTGAAGCCAGCATTTCCAAGTGGATGCATTTGCTTTCACTTTCTGCATCAGGCCCCAGACCCTGGGAAGGTGGCTGTGAATTGATCAGAACTGCGAATCCCAGTTATTCAGCCTGCAGGCCCCTGGCTCCTGGGGAAACACATTCTCTTCCACCCTTGCCATCTCTGAGGTCTGTAAATTGTGCTTTTCACAGGGTCCTTACCTGAAAGAGTCTGTCACCATAGGACCTGGTGGGGTCCTCCTCCTCGCTGTGGTTTTCATTATCACTCAGGCGGTTTTGACAACACGATCCTATCACAGTGGTTACAGCTGAGCTGGGGCTGAACATAATCACCATTTTGCAGAGAAGGGTTCATCTCCTCAGCTGAGCATGCATCTGAGACCGTCAGGCTTTACACTTTCACTTAAAGTGAGGGAGAAGCATAATCTCCTTAGAGCTTTCAAACCCCATTGCTACAGGTGGAAAACTGGAGAGACACCAGAGGAAAGCCCCATTGTTACCTGATCCCTAAAAATCACACATATTGTCTGTAGTCTGTTAACCATGTGGACTTCTTCCACTGCCGTCCCTTGGCACATGGACCCTCCAACTTGGGAGACACCAAAACAAGCTTTGATGAAAAGACCCTTTTCCCTCCTGGCCCTTGATTTTCAGGCAAATAAAAAGGATGTTTCTCTCTGTTCTGTTGCTGTCTCCCAGGATGGTGGTTGTTATGGTGATCTGTTCTGCAAAGCTCTGAAAACATATAATATGCTTTGTTTTGGAATTTACCGGTTGAGAGATGCCCACCTCAGCACCCCCAGTCAGTGCACAAAGAGGTGAGTATTGGTTTCAACTCTGCCCTCCCACCTAATCACAGAAACAATAATCCCCTACTGTAAAGGCAAAGGTCTGTATACATCTCCCCAACATGCAAATTACCCTGCCCATATTAAATCCGGCACTGAGTTTGGAGGTGATGGGAAGCATTTTTCTATAATTACTAATAGTGGATGTAAAGACATTTTGGTAAGAATTCAAGTTTTGTATTAATAGAATAATTCCATCACCCAATTACAAAAGTCTGAATACAAACATCTCTCCCAAACTCCAGCTACTAGGATAACATCTGTTGGTATCTAATATAGAGATATATCATTTCACATTGCTAGTGTTTATGATAATTTTTTTGTTTTTTGAGATGGAGTCTTGCTCTGTTGCCCAGGCTGGAGTGCAGTGGCGCAATCTTGGCTCACTGCAACCTCTGCCTCCTGGGTTCAAGCGATTCCCCTGCCTTAGCCTCCTGAGTAGCTGGGATTACAGGCACACACCACCACACCCAGCTAATTTTTGTGTTTTTAGTAGAGACAAGGCTTCACCATGTTGGCCAGGCTGGTCTCGAACTCCTCACCTCAAGTGATCCACCCACCTCGGCCTCCCAAAGTGCTGGGCTTACAGGTGTGAGTCACCACACCCGGCCCTAAGACAAGTGGTTCTTCTGCCATATCTTAGAATCGTGTATTTTTACTTCATATATTTTAAATTGATTCACTTTTTAACTTTTATGTATTTATTTTTGAGACAATTGTATATTATCACCTTAAGCAGAAAAAATAACAGTTTAGATGTGCTAATTATATTTTTCTCATATGCATTAAAATAAATTCATAGCAGGCAAAAATTAAAAGTACATCCTAGAATTACCAAGATCAGTGAGTTTGCATAATATACCCTAGGCAATAGTGCTGCAGAGACAGGCGTTTCTCATCCCTGCTTGCATAGTAGAATCACCTGGGGAGCTTTTGAAAAATATTCTGATTACTCTAATTTAACTGGTCTGGAAGGAAGAAAAAATCATATATATATTTTAAAATATATCACAATTTTATATATAATACCCAGGGATTATTGTGTATAGCCAGAATTGAGAACAATTGCTATAGACCAGTGGGTTCTCAAAATTTAGCCAGCATGAGACTCACCTGCAGAGCTTGTTCAACCACAGAACCCATCCTCAGCACTTCCAATTCAGTAGGTCTGGGTGGGGTTGCTTAAGAACTTGCATTTCCTAGTTCGCAGGTGATGCCGAGCTGTGTGGCCTGAGGACCACACTTTGTGATCCACTGCTCTAAGTGAAACAGGGTGATCATCTTAGTCACATCTGCTGTTGACCAAAGAAAGCTCCAACTCATTGTGAAGAACAACAAAGTAGTGCTGATAAGTAGGCAGGGTTCTTAGATTCTTCCACGTGGTGAATTCCAAATTCCAAATTCTCCCACCAAAACAGATTTTAAAAGGTAAAGAGCGAGAATATAGTCTAAGGAGACACTCTGTAATAGTAAGCAAAGATCTTGTGATGTATATCTGGGATTGTCCAAAAATTCTGGAATGAAAGTTGCATCACACTTCATGAAACCTCCTGCGGCTGGGCTACTTGGAAGTGACTTTGACCTTGTATAGAAAGGTACCTGTAGACCACGAGAAGCAAAGTTTGGTCCTTCCATTACTGGCCCTAATTCCACATCTCTGCCTGGGCTCCTGGCTGGCCTCCTTTGTTGAGTTAAACAGAGGAAGTTTCCATTTAACAAGGAAAAGAATGTTTAAGGCCTCGGACCAGCTAGAAGTGCATCTTCCAGATCCTCTGAAAGTCCTGAGTAACCAGGCCATTGCTTTTGGTTCAGGGAGGGTTGAATTCTCTACTCAGTTATTCTCGGGCGGTGACATCTCTGCTTTTCCTGTCCAGGTATGTCATCACCAACCCCCCCTACGAGTTTGAGCTCGTGCCGACGGACCTGATCTTCTGCTTAATGCAGTTTGACCACAACGCCGGCCAGTCCCGGGCCAGCCTGTCCCATTCCTCCCACTCGTCGCAGTCCTCCAGCAAGAAGAGCTCCTCTGTTCACTCCATCCCATCCACGGCAAACCGACAGAACCGGCCCAAGTCCAGGGAGTCCCGGGACAAACAGAAGTACGTGCAGGAAGAGCGGCTTTGATATGTGTATCCACCGCCACTGTGTGAAACTGTATCTGCCACTCATTTCCCCAGTTGGTGTTTCCAACAAAGTAACTTTCCCTGTTTTCCCCTGTAGTCCCCCCCTCTTTTTTTTTACACATATTTGCATATGTATGATAGTGTGCATGTGGTTGTCATTTTTATTTCACCACCATAAAACCCTTGAGCACAACAGCAAATAAGCAGACGGACCAAAAGTTATTTATGATTCTAGGGGAAAAATAACCCAAAGGCATGCTCCAGACATAAATAGCTCACTGCAGGAACGAGTTCACAGATTAGAAGGGAGCCCTTGTGATCAATGTCAGTTAGGGAGAGCAAGTTTATTTAATGTAAAAGAAAAGCTGATTCTGATTTATCAGGATTATCAGGGTGCTTTGGGTTTTGATTTTGTTGTTGTTGTTGTTGTTTTCCTTTCTTTCTTTTTTTATACACACAATAAGTTAGTACATGTTTATTTGAAACAAGCAACCAGACAGCAATGAAAACATATCGATTGTTTCCAGTCTCTGGGCCGAAGTATTGCGAAGCCTTTGAAAAGCTTTCACAATTTGTGTAGATGATTTTGAAGGACTTGCTTGTTGCAAGAGAACATCAGAGATTTTTTTTAGTTACTCACCAACGCCTTTTGTCCCAGAGCCAGTTCCCTCTGGGAGTTCTTATGAACATTTCTCACCTTAATGTGGAGGAAAGAATAGTATTCCAATCATGGATGTATCAAATTCTAGTCATTTAGTTTAAGTGAAAAGAGGTTTGATTGCATATTAAATTGTTATTCTGTCTCCTTATGTTGCCATATGAATAGCTAGTTTTTTTCTTTCACTTTTGACATTTGGGATGAAAAGCCATATGTATCATAAATATCAGATGTAAGTCATTAAAAACTGCCTTCCTGGGACTTTCACATCTTTTAAAAGGTGAATTACTTACCTTATGTACAGAATAAATAATGCTCAGGAAAGAGCAAGTATTTTTCCATGTATCCTCAGGGGATCCTTTTACTCCCCTTTGTTTGATTAGTTAGGGCCCCAATGCCAGGTAGGAGGAAGGGCTGGGGCAGAGTGAGAGGAAGACAAACCCAGCTGCAGATCATGTTTTTCTAGGAGCTGACATGCTAAATAAATTAGAATGTAGGAGGATCAGCCACAGTTGACTCAACAAAGACAAAAGACAGCCACCACCTTCAACTGTTGGTGCAGCTGCACGGTGCTGGCTGTCCCAATGAAGGAAGCTGGTGGGAAAGAATTCCTCATCATCACTTTAGTTAATGTAGCCAATTTAGGCAGGGTAATGACGACAATAGAGAGCTGCTCCTTGTCATTATGAGACGTGGGATGAGAAGAGTGCAACAGTGAGCCAAACACGTTTTGGTATAGTTATTTTTTCTTTTGTTTTTGTTCTTTCTTTTTTAACACTTAGTAAGCATGGGAAGAGAGGTAGAAAAATACCCTTTTTTCAACATATAGTTGTCAGATGCTTTGCGCATGCAAATCATGCTTTAGGCAGTGCGGTAGTTCTTAAAAATTGGCCAATTCACCATAACCAATTTCTCTTATGGATGGACTAGGCTGGTATACACATATTTGAACAGTTTACTTTAAAGAATTCCATCAAATAGAATAGGGGTAAAAGGGAGGAGGAAAACATGTCACAGCTGTACCATCTCTAAAAAGGTGTTTTTATGGTGAATGTTTTGGATTTAGGTTTTGGATCCCTCGTCCCCTCAAGCATGATAGTTTTGGAGATTTGCTTGCTGTGTGAATTGACAAGCACTTTTACTGACAAATGGTGAGGCTCTGTCAGAACCTCCACCCTCCCCCGCACCAAAGACAGGGGCAGCATAGTATTCAAACCAGTATTGTGATGGGGAATAATTGTATACATGTAAATTAACAAGCCCTATGAGTGGAAGAATTTTTTCAAATTATTTTTGTCTTTCTATATATTGATTTATATTATGTATAACTATCTCTTTATATAAAACTATATATATAACTATATATATATAACTATATATATATATATATATAACTATATATATGTATCCCCTAGTATTGGATCATGAAGAGCTCTTCATGCATTCTTTGCAAAGGAGGTTATAAAGTTACGCCCTCAGAACATTTATAACTATAAGAATGTGCCAGTTAAAGTGCTCAACAGGAAATATGACAGTTTAAAAGCATTGTAAAACTCACATAGCTTACTTCTCTCTCTAAAGTGCAACAAGGATGAATAGAATGGGCCAAGGTATGACAATTAATGGTTCTGCATGACCTAGCCACTGCTGGGGGTTTTCTTCTATAACGTTGTCCTTGTGAAAACTTTTGTGAAATTAAAAAAAAAGGAGTTACAAATTTTATTCTGTTATTGGTTTGTTTATTTTTATTTATATTGTTCTGTTTGTGGTTTTATTTATTTTGTTTTGCTTCCCCCACCTTCCCCTTTCCCTCTCCTTTTCCCTTCCTTCTTCTCTTCCTTCCTTCTTCCACTTTCTAAATTGCTCAGCGCAATGAGGCTGTGCTGCTGCTATTGCTAGATTCCTTAGAATTTGTTTTGGTGTTCTTGGGTGTGGGGTTGGGTGATTTGGGGGGAACTTCTCTCCATCTGGCTTGCCTTTTAATCTGCACGTGGCCTCCCTGCCCACCCTGGTACCTTGCTCCAAGTCCGAAAGCATTTTCCCATCAAGAAACCCAGCTTCCTTCACTTCCCCCATTGCCACCCCCCAACCCCAGTCCCCACATCGGTCTGTTCACATCTCTGTGTTCATCTTGGCAAGACCTACTCAATCAAGTGATGATGCCAGTTGATAAACTTTTCTGGAAAACATTTACAGCTATTCCATTTGGCGAACCTGCTTCTCTGTCAATATTTCATCCTCCTTTTATTTAAACCAGGAGGTTTATTAATGGCAAAAGCATTGGTCTTCTTTATGCTTGATCAGTATGACTCAAAAGCGTTCTGCTGTGTATATCAACTCAACAGCCCACACCCAGTTATCTGGGAGCTGATGGTTCAGTCACTGTATTACCCAAATCTCTCCTGCCACCTGCCTTTCAGACATTTGTTAAATCCCAACCAGAGATCGGGCAGATAGAGAGAAGTAAATCCAAAGTGCATTTTATACACAATCTGTTAGCAACTCCAATGAGATGATATTGTGATGGGAATGGAATGGGAACAGACTATGATATGAGATGGAATTTTGAGGTTTTCCTGGACTTTGGGCACACAGTCATGCCCCAGTGGTAGATAATTGAGAATTGACCATATTTGACTAATGTTACATTTGATGATGGAGAAGGATCATTATTACTTCAATTTTTTTGCCAAAATTACTATATTATACTTTCCTTAATAGAGTGAAGAGTCTCCTCCATTGTTTTCTATTTGACTCCAAACTTCCCCTTCTTCTTTCAGTAGAACATCCGCTTACCTAGGAAGTGGGCATACAAGTTTCTTATTATTATATCTCTTTCTGTTCACTGCCCCCTGCCCCTCACCGCAAAAAAAAAAAAAAAAAAAAAAAAAAAAAAAAAAAAAAAAGAGAGAGAGAGAAAGAAAAGAAATAAGGAGGTAAGGGTAGAAAGTGAAAGAGTTCTTTGAAAAGAAAGTACATACATTTAAAAAGTTAGGAACTCTGTTATCTGCATCATTCTAGAAGAGAAGAAATTTGTAAGCCATTTAGTCCAACTTGCTTTGGGCTTTGAAAGGCGTGAACAGTAAGTAGGCTGGTAAACGAGAGGGCACGGTGAAGCCTTCTCAGTCTCAACACTCGGGTGATCATGGCATCATCAGTGTCCCTAAAGTCTGCTACTCAGGGTTCTTTCCAAGGCCAGTTCAAATGGATAGAGAAAGCTAGACCCTTATACATACAGTTAAACTTCTGCCACAATTGGGAGAGGTTGCAAATTCTGTTCTGAATATTAAAGATTATGACCCAGATCCTTACCGTAGGTGCTCAATAAATATTTGATATAAATTGACTTTACATATTTTATACCTTTAACCATTTTCTATATTACCCTTGTCCCCTTGTTTATTTTTTAAAAAAATATGAGTGCCTCTACATGCCTCACGATGCTGCTGTGCTGGTGCCACTTTCTCAAGCTGGTCACATGGCTTCTGAGAATGGGGAATAGCCCTGTAAGCCCAATGAGTAGAGAGACCGACTATGCCTCTTGGCAGCATTGTCAAGATCCCAGATGACCAGAAAAACCTTTTGCCTGGCTGTTCTGCAGCATGGGAAAAGCCTAAAGGTGTCTGCATCCCGATAGAGACAATTAAATCAACCTGCCAGGTTCCTATAGCAACAGGCTCCTTGAAGGAGAAAGAGGAGAGTACAGAAACTCCAGGGCCTGTGGAAGTCAAGACAGGGTAAAAATCAATTTCTCAATCAGCTTCTTTCAGCCCATCCCTGCTTTGTCACAATATGATAAAGAAGTAGCTGTGGGCACCTGTCACTACACTGGCTGACTGTCTCCCATGCAAGATTGCATGCCCATTGCAACCACTGGAGGTGAGAGGGATTATCCCCTGCCACCCGAAAGGGATTAGTGAAGAATCTGTCCTCAAGGTGTTGGCTGGACCAAGAGCCACAGAGGGCTGGAAGAGCTGTTTGCTCAAAGAATGGCAGAATCAGACTTTCAGTTAAAAGAGACAGAGTCATGGTAGCCAATTGCAAAGAAGTGAGAAGGTTTTTCATAAACGGTAACTGCTTTTGTTCTGGTATAAATAATTTGTATCTCTATGAAATAGGCATACTTTGCTCACAGACAGGAGAGGAGATAGTATGTGTGGGTGGGGACGGTGGAGGCATCAGGGTTTGCTGGGCAGAGGAAATGTGCCAGGCTGCCTATCACAAATGCAGGACAGGAAACCACACAGCATTACCCTTGAAGGTCGAAGCTTCTTGTTAGCCCTTACTATTCTCCATAGTTGTCTCTCTCCAAACAGAATCTTTTCTTTTTGAGCCTTTTCTCTCTCAACCTCAGCTTGTGGTGTAGTGAGAAGAGGGCCAATTATTCCAAATGCTTTTGCTGTATCATTGTCTCCCCTTTTCTGCAATCTTCTCTAGGGAGTAGTTCTGTGAAAAGGCTAAAGCCCATGGCACTGACAACCCACAGAGCCAACAGAGAAGCTCAGTTCTCACAGTGCAGCCTGTTTCTTCCTCTGCTGGTGGCAGCTCAGTCAGCCCAGCTCTGGGGCCCTTCCCTGCAAGAGCCCAGTCCTCCAGGGTGACCTGCAGCCCTGTGGCAGGAGGAGGTTTTGACCCTTACTTTAAACCCTGTGATCTCAGTGATGAAACTAGAAATGCAAGAAACCGATGGCTCTCAGATGGGATAGGAGGCCTGGTGAGTCAAATCCAGTATTTCAAAGACATAGAGGCACCCTGGGAGGGGAGAAACCCTAAGCTCCCCAGAAATAACACCAGGTTACCTCTTCCTCTCCTTTACCTTCAAAACGAAGATGACCAACCAAATCCCCCTCTGTCACCTCTGCTGCCACAATCCGTATTCTTCAGGATACACCCCGATATACACACCCCTACTCAACATCTCTGCTGAAGGGCATCATTTGTCATCACATTCAAGAGGTGCCACCCATCCTTTAGTACCGATAGTACTCAGGCTAGTATTAAACTTACTGTAAAAGCTAACGCTTCACAACTGCCTTGGGCCAGGTACTCCCCTGAGCACTCTTCAGTTACCTATATAAACTCAATCCTCACAACAGCTTCAGATGGAGATGCTGTGTCTCCCTTTGAAAGATGCAGAATCTGAGAGACACTAGAGTATGTGAAGTTAGCCACTGCGATATAATGCCCGCTGATATTATTAATAATACTCATAACCTTAACAACTCACATTTACTTACCATGTATCTGGACCTGTATAAGTGCTTCAAGGGTGCTAGCTCCATTTATCTTAACAACACTATTAGGAAATTTGTATCATCAACCCTATTTTACAGAAAAGGAATGAAGCTAAGATAAATTTGCTAATAACTTGTTCAGAGTCACACAACCGGTATGTTAGCCAGATCTGCTTAACTTTCACCTCCTGCCCTGCGCTGTCTCCTTAGCCCACATCTCCTTGCTTCTTCACGGTGGACAGCTCATAGCATGGCTGGTCTTAATAGGTGACATGTCCCAGTGGCAGTGGCAATTGCTCTACCAGCATCTCTCTGCAGTTGTTTTCCAGATTTTTATCTTGTCCCACTAGCCCCCTCCCAGCCACAAACTGAAATGCCTCTTCTTTCCTAACTCCACGAACTCCTGGCATGTCACACATTGTACTCAGAGCACTGACAACAGGCATCTCATTCTTAAGAAGCTTATTAAGAAATGAAGCTATTTTTCTCTGGCGGTGAGGAAGCCCTCCCACCCCGATCAATTGCCCTTCTCATCTTAGAGATGAAAATAAAGCCCCTGGAAATCTTTCCGGTGTGTGAGATGAAACAGGGAGCAGAGATAAACTCAGGGATTTGGATTTATCCTTGACCATGGCAGCATTCATTAGAGCTGCTTCCCTGAGTCCTCTTCCTCGTGGTCAATTTTGTAGCCACCCATTGGCGTTGTTTTTTCTTCGGAAGGCAAGACTCAATACATCAAATTGTCATTGTCCTACTTGCACTCTCCATGGATGCCGAATGGCTGGCGATCATTGAAATGTGTGTTCCTTGCAAGCGTGTTGGGAGAATCTCTTTGTAAAATACTGTTGCCACCAGACATTTTAGTAAAACACCCAGAGCATTCATATAGTTCCATTTCCTGAACATCCTATGTAACCAAGTCTCCAAGAACACACACATTTATATCTTAGGAGGCACCCAAATTAAACAGCAGTTTCTCAGGCATAAGGAAGACCTCAACTCGTCACCACAATGTGTTTTAACACAACTCATTCCTTGTGTTGAGACAGCATGTCCAAAACAAGGTCTACTCTGCTTAGATTCTGTTTAATGGCAAGAAATGTAAAAGGAAAGAGAGAAGCTTAAATGAGGAAATAATGCTCTCTTTCTGTCAGACAGCAGAAGGAAATTGATATTCTCTCTGCCGTGAAAGGTCAAAATGCCAACTTTGAATTGAACTGCAAAGACTAAATTCTGAACAATTATTCTCTGCAGCAGTTGTAAAAATTTCAGCAAATCGCAGCTGTCTTAGGTCTTTCACCCAAAAGACCTACTCATTTCCATCAGCTGAGTTCACTCTTCCAACCTGGCATGTCCAACCTAGCACTAAATCCCTTTGCAAAATCAGTCTGCATAACAGCATGGCCAAAAACCGAGGGCAGCTCAGGCAACCTGAGCACAAACACCAGGCTCAACCTCTCTGAAAATCATCTTTACACATAAACCGCTGGAAAAAGTCGTAGTTTGAAATTGTTTCAGCGGCCTGGCAATGCTTTTAAAACATGATAACCATCACACTTTACTCCTCTCTGAAAGGTTAGTTTAATCGTAGATCACAAAAAATTGGTTTCCACAAATGCATAATGGTTCATCTATGTCACACTTGAACTAAATGGTTTTTTAAATGGAGCTGAAATTATTTTGATGTGTACACAGTCTTGGATTTCTATACAACCTTTTTTAACCAGCCCATCAGGAACCTTGCCTCTAAAGCCTCATTAATAATTCAGATGTGCTGATGACTTTAAAAGATCTATGGAATTGAAGCTTAGGGAAAAAAAAAAAAACTCTGCTTGACAAAAAGATAAATGAATGTAGAAAGAAGCTGTAGGAGTCTGGCAAGCTGTAGATCATCTCAGAACAGATTGTAACTTTATCATTCTGTCAGGGGGAATAATTTAAAGCACTTAATCAGTTAGCTTCACTGTGAGGATGTAGCATTATGAATTCCTATCGTCCAATCTGTTCAAATCAAAGTGAACTTAATTATAATAGGTGAGCGAGCCAGAGCAGGAGGGGGATGGGGAGAATGAGGCAAGAGGTAGAAAGTTTCCTGTGCGGTAAACTGAGCTGCCGCATAAAAGTGGGGCGAGGCTTTGACTCAGGCACATCCCTGCTCCAGTGACAGCCCTCCTTGACATTGACAGCTCAGGGCACTTGAAATAGCAGAAGCAAGAACTGAAGAGAAACAAGCAGAGTGGTCATGAGCTGATCATAGATACTTAATTTATAAATCATTAGCCAAACATGCACATACCCACCCACCCCCAACATCCCCTATCAAACCAGGTGAGCAGTTTTCACTATAGTGTCCATCCAGGACCACTGACAAGGCAGTTACGAGTTGTTCTGGTAAGCAGAAAAGGCAGCTAGAGAGACAATTGTCTCTATAGCAGTGGACGTGCTTGATAGCTTTTACCCTTTTGCTTTTCTTTCCCTAAGCCACTAAAGTGAGGCGTATGATTCCCAAGTTAGAATGTCCTATTTGCCCAGTCCTTTCCTATCTATACACATGGCCAATTTCCCAGAAAATTTCAATCCTAGAAAGAGGCGGGGATGAGGGTTGAGTCTTGTAAAACAGCTTTGCACTATGAAGAGGATGCTAGACCATTTTCATTCTCACCCCAGCCCCCCGAACACCCTGACTCAGCATTCTCTCTCAGCCATTTCTGTATTTAGGGTGGAAATGAAATGCCAAGACTTCAATGAGCTCCCTTGTCGACAGCTTGGGTTATTATAGTCAGTTAAGATATTGCCACTTGGAACTCTATTCATAACTTTATACCAACACAGAGTTTTCTTTCTTGATATAAAAGCCACCTCAAAATCATCTTTAAAACATTGGTCACTATTCTGACTTGCATAGATTTTTGGCCAGCAAAATCGATGGGTTTAGTTTAGACCCCCCAAAGTGGCTACAAATGAAACAGGAGAGTGGTAAAGTTGAGACATGACTTTATGTGTATGTGTTATAAGCAAAGCCAAGGAAAGGCTGGGAAGTGGAGATTCTGTATAAGATTCTAGATCACTCGCTCTGCAGCAAGTGTGGTGGTGCCCTTCTGTTCCACTCGAATCAATGGATGCACACATCTCTTCTCAGGCACAATGTCTGTACCCAATGGCTGATATATGCAACATCCCTTCCCCACCAAACCTTTTCTGGCCATGAAATTAACTCCAAGGAATATTGCCAGGGTCCATTCTGCAACCCCTCCTTAGCCTCTGAGGTCCACTCATGGGGCCTCTGAGTCCCAGTGACACATTTTATTCATCACTTGCTACAGGAAGCAGAGGTATGTTTCAGGTTCTGGGGTCCTCCCTACACTGCACTGTCTCTCTTAGCAATTAACTCACTGTTGGCTTCTATTGATTACCTTTTTGCGTTTTTCAATGAACTTTCCAAAGGCTTTGCCTTAGGACTAATTAAACTTCTAATTTCTCCTTCTTGTTCTCTATCCATTTTGCCCTTTAGCAGAAAAGAAATGGTTTACAGATGAACCGGATAATGCCTATCCCAGAAACATTCAAATCAAGCCCATGAGTACCCACATGGCTAACCAGATCAACCAATATAAATCCACAAGCAGCTTGATTCCACCAATCAGAGAAGTTGAAGATGAATGTTGACTCCCAGGAGACCAGAACTATTTTTTTAAAGCCTGACAAACTTCATCAATGGTGATGTGACTTTTCTTCTTACATGCTGAATCACTGGTGGAAACGTTAGGATAAGCAAGAATTGCCAGAAAATAAAGTAGACAGATCTTTCTCTTTGTCTGCCTTGAATATTGCTTCCATGTATTTTGGAAAAGAAAATGATTTCATTTATAAATGAACATACTAAAATAGTCATGTATAGCCTCTAGCATTTTAAATTATTTTTGTTTATTAGAAAGAAAATATATTTTTTCTTTTCTTTCCATTGTCAAATATCTTCCCTATATCTAAACAATGCAAACTCTAAATGAATAAGTGGCCAGACTCCTTAATGCGTTTTTCTCTTCTTTCTCTCTTTTTCTTTTGAGGAGAATGATGGTCACCACCACAATTAATTGTAATTAATTTTAATGAATTATTAAAACAATTTTAAAATGGCCAACGATGTATACATGTATTTTAGTAAGTCCAAAAAAGACGACGAAGGGGACAGGTGAATACCTGCTCCTCGCCTGGATGGGTGTGTGTTTTGATCTGCATTGACACCAGCTCTTAATAAATGGAAACTTATTTATTTTCACAGTTGAAAGTCATATTTTTGTAGTTTTAGTTTTCATTCTGTAGTTCTCACCCCTTTGTTCATATTTTTAAAGGGAAGACCTTCTTGCTGCTTTTCTACAATTGGCAGATCAGGTTTGTCTGGCCAACTAAGGATACCAGGAGGGTTGTGGGCAAGCCTGGGATGTGGAAGCTGAGGACCAGATGCGCACAAGGCATTGCTCTGTTTGCTGTTCTAGTGGTGGGGACTCCTACATGCTGTATGCTTCTCATTTTGTATTTCCAAACCACCTGAGCGAGTAATGTCAACTTCGGGAGGGTCTGGTGGACTTCCTCCCCACTCCCCAAGTCTCAGAGCTTTTAGCCTGGAAGTTTGTAAAACTGATCAATAGTTTTACTTTACCATAGGCTATGAGAGGGCATTCATTCTTCTCACTGAGTTTTTGTTTAAAAACCAGGAAATTTCTACAATCATGGAGACGGGATTTTAATTTGCATGCTCTCCTTTATTTAGTTGCTGGGGCCAAACACGTGAACTTGTTACAACAATTTAAAAAATAATAATAACAAAAGGAAAGCAATGAATGCACTTCATATAGACTGTTAGAAAAGGCCTTTGAAAATTACCAGCAGTGAAATCAAATATATCAGCCACTTTAAACTGCGGTCAAAAGATTTTTCTAGCCATCAGATGCAATTACAATGTCTCAGAGCTCTGCTGTCGCTTGCATGCTAGGTGTACAGTCTCCCGGCAACTGTTTTGTTCCAATCAACTTAGCAAGTCTTTCAACTTTAAAATTATCAGTCTTTGATATGATCATCAAGGTCTCTGGAGAAGCATGGATGTGATAGTGATTTCTATTTTCTTAAAAAAAATGTAAACTGTGGACACTTAAAGGAACCAAGCTAACCAAAGTATCTCCCCAAAATTTCATGATATCTAGTCCATTAACTCTTTGGACCATGACCTGTGGTACTTAGTTATGGTAGTGCAAATCAGATCAGAGCAAAGCAATGAGATCATCATGAAGACATATGTCCACTAAGTACTCCAATTACCAATGTAGGCAAAATGAGCTTCCACCTCTGTCCACTCCCTGCAGAGCCAATATAGTCGTGCTTCCACCTCGTAGGCATTGTCCTGCAGTGACTTGTCGGACTGTGGTTACTCTGTCGTCACATTTTGTAGAATTAGTTCTATAAAAGTATTGTGAATATAATGTATGTCCAATTGGATTGTTTAAAAACTACTTATAATTAATCACTAGCCTACTCAGCAGACTAAAATGACGTCAACAGTCTATATTCAGGCTTATAAACATTTCTTGGTTTCCAACAGAAGTCAAATGTGTTTGTGGGGAGAACCTTTTGCCAGGATTTTGACAACTTTCCTGAAAGCTAGGCCTTCTTTTACATAATGATTTTGCACTGGGGTCACCTTAGTACATTCACGTCAATCCACGCTCTTCTTTCCTTCGTGAACCATAGTGGGCTCTTCACTCCTGCTCCTAATAACCACCTCCGAATTTGTCAGAGCGATTTGGTCTCCTCTGGCAGGCTGTGGTGGCCACATAAAGGATCTTCCATTAGAGGGACACAGGACACAAAGCTCCATTCCCACTACCCTCTCTTCCCTGTGTCTCCCCTACCAAGGCAATCTGGAAGCAGAAATGCAAACTCCAACCCCACGACACATCCATTGATGCATTTGTGGCTAGAGATTTGAATCTAAACTTAAAAAAAAAATCATAATAGTTAGGATCATCTCCTACAGCAAAGGGCTCCTTGATTCATAAGCACCACCCCCCCAGAAAAAACAAAACAAATTAGTAGAAATTCATTTTCTTAAGTAGAGCAATAAGTTCATACTATGTTGCCTTTGTAATAATGAATTGTTCTGGCCTAGAAAACAAAATGAGGCATTTTGTTAAGGAGGTAGGAAAATGGCTGGCTGTTGGGCCCTTTGGCAAAAGCTGGTGCCTGGTAAGTAGAAAGCGAAATGGAAGCAAGTAAGATTTGTGAAATCACTGGAGGGCTCAAGCAAATGCCAGAGCTTCTCCCTGGCTTGTTCCTACTCGTTGAGCTCTTTGGCCCTGAGTCCCATCCATCTCCTCTGAGACAGTCTGTCTTTCTGCCTACATCCACCTGAGACCAAGGAGGGTCTTCGTTAGTACAGTCCACATTATGAGGCTCTGATTTCCATCCCAGTTTAGGGCTCCAGAAAAGCCATTCTCCCAAACTAATGATTCTTGGGTGCTGTGGGAATCAAAGACTCACCAACAGGCTGTTTACCGAGCAGAAAATATCATCACCATCATCACCTTTCTCCTTGAAAAAACTTATTTTTTTCTCATCAATTTTATATTTTAGAATATCATCTTGAACCGTTACAAAACACCTTAAATAAAAGTGACTGTGACTAAGGCATGTTGGAGAACATTCCAAAACTCTTTCTTCCCAAGGGTTCTGGCACCTTATGATGTACTTTGTAAAAAATTGATTGAAGATTTTAAATAAACAGGAAATTGGAAGTGTTTTTTAGAGTTGGATAAAGGAAAAGTGAAAAAGCATAAGAAATCTGGGATATTTTCACGTTGAAAGGAAAAAAAGCACAAATTCCCTAGTTACCATTTAATATGAGGGTGCAAGAGCCGCATTTACAACCAGCTATGATCTTTGAAAATGTTTTTAAAACTCTCTGCGTCTCAGTGACTTCATTTGTAAATGAGAGTGATTCCTCTAGATGACTCTAAGGTCCCTTCAGGTCCCAGGGCACATGATCTAAGTTAGGAGTGGGAACATGGGAGCGGCTGCCTCTTCCTGGCTAAACGTTTGGAGACTATTGTGTCCAGGGCTGGAATAATCATCCTTTATGCTGCATCACCCAGGCAACACTCTCAGCCTTACTCACGAGTGGTGAACATTTTCTGCTCTGGACGTAGAATAGGTAGGTTCATTCCTGTGCTTTTCACCTTAGCGTCTTTTTAGGTTCAAGATGCAAATTTCTCATTTCGGAGAAATGATAGTCACCATCACAATTAATTGTAATTAAGGGAAATGAATTATTATAACGATTTAAAAATGGCCAGCACCTGAATCACGTTGGTCAAATTTCACCGCCTGTTCTAGGGTTTTCTTCTCAATTTCATCCCTCCTTTCCCCCTTTTTTTTTTTTTTTTTTGGTTCAAGGCCCAGCTTCAGTTAATCCCTTCATCTCTATTCCATGTTTCCAATTCCTAGTACGTAACTAGAGGTTCAAGAGACCCCAAATTCCTGCCATTTTCCCCATTTATGTTTCCCCATGTGGATCTTCAGGAAGTAACCAGTCTTCCTTCTCACTTCATTTCCTGTCCTCTGTTTATTTGGTTGTTTTCTTTCATTAATAAACTAACCATCTCTTAGCTACTTACATTCATAAATGTAATTTTAATCTATTGTTTTATTGTCAAAGGGAACCTCATTGAAGGAAGGAAAGGCGAAATTGAGGAATAAAGGTAGGAAGGGAGAGAAACAAAGACTATTCAACCATTTGACTGAGATGTGAGCCTTCTTGACTCCTAGGAGACTAAGTAGATCCATTCAGCTTGAACACTGAGCTCCAGGGCAGAATCTGTCCATTTTCTATTTTATTCTTACTTGCTGCTTTTGGAATGGTGGTAAAGCCACCAATTGCCATGACCCTTGAAAGGATCTTCACTAATTAGGACTGACTCACTCTCTTTAAAAAGCAAAAGAAAGAGAATTTACTTACAATCTTCTGGCAAATTACCTTTCTGCCCCTCTCCTCATTCCCAAAAGGCATTTTATTTTAATCCAGCAGAGATGATTTAGCATATAAATCCCATGGTCATTTGAGGAGGTGATGATGCTATTTGGATTTATTTATGAGAGAGTAGTAATGAGAAATGATTCCTAGACAGTTTGTACTAGTTCGGTCATATTGGTTGTTTAAGTGCAGTCTCTTCCAATTGGTTGTTTCCAATAAAGTATCACTTGTTAATAATTTCAAGAATTCCATAAAAATAAGGAAACTTGGAAAACATTTTAAATTTTATTTCTTAAGAGACCACAGAGCCTAATTTTCAATTTTTATGGTAAGCTTGCTTAAAACATGTATAGAAAGAAGCCTATGTGCTCAAAGACAAAGGCACCTTTAGCCCTACAATGGTTGGAAGCTCCATGATATCATAGCCCCACATGGATAGATTGGAGAAAGAATTCTGACTTAGACCACCTGTAGCAGACTTTCCTCTTTTGACATTTTTTTTTTTTATCACAGAAAGGACCTGAGACTCCTTATCTAAAGATAAGACAAACTTGGGGTATACATTAAGAATCCAGGAAGACAGAAAAAAAGAAAAAGATATAATAAGCAGTATTTTAAAATACCATCAGTTATGGGCATGCATCTGGTACAAAGAGTAGTTCTTTAGGTTGGAAGAAAGAAGAGTTTGCATTGAACTGCATGGGCTGGTAAGAATGCAGAGGCATATAATGCTTGATGGGCTTTGGAGGCATTTCAATAGTAATTGGGTGACAGGACTGGAATGATGTGTAATATGAGGGTTTTCCAGGGAGATGGGACTTAATGGGCCATGATGTATTTGTAGAAATGTGATTTCAATAGATTGACTATTTTGTCTACTGTGTTAAGTTTGTGTAGGGGAACTAGGGAAAACTGAGATGCGACGTCATGGAAGGGGCTACAAAGTACAGTCTAAAGGCCTAGATAAAAGCTTGAAACTTGATTTAGAAAGTTATGAAAAGCCACTAAGAGTTTTAAGCAAAGAGTGATGGGGCAGCAATGGCTGTGCATTTTTCAGGCTGAAAGTAGTGAGATGTCAGTTCTTCCTGGAAAATATCATGAGAATGCACACAAAACTGAACAAATTCTCAGCAGCAAGGAGTGCTAAAGGGTGCCCACTCCAAGTCAACAATTCACCGTGTGCAACACCCCCCTTCCTCACGCATTTGGCTTTGCTTTCTGTCACAGGACCATCAGACGTAGAACGTCCTGACTCTCCTGAATTACTAGAATGTCAGCAACAAACTCACAAAGTAGATTAGAGGGTAGGAATGGATACATAAATTTTTAAAAATTGGCCAATCATACTATTTTCTAGACAGTAATATAATAAGAACATGAGGCAGGACATCCACAAATTGTAGAGAATAATTAATAGTCCAGAACTGCCAAATAGGAATTTCCATTATGAAAACATCCTTGCAGCTAATCAGGGAGCGCTTGCTTAGAAACCTGTTAGCACCCGTTAAATATTTGTAAAAGGAGCGGATGGGAGAGAAATGAGCACACTATAGGTACTGCCATCAATCAGCTTATAATACAACTAAAGAAAGAAAACATGCTCAAAGCGCCATTAGAGAAAGGGTGAGCCCTAACGATATAGTTTCACATTCAATATGGTAGGAGGTGAAACAAGGGAGAAATGCTGTGGTTTGAAGTGGTTCAGCAAGGTAGGATTTCTAGAGAAAGGGGGGTTTAGGAGTTAGATTAGTAGAGGGTCAGCATTCCAGGTATGAAGGCAGGATTATCTGGCATGTGGCAGGGTGGGTGATGTTCATCAGTAACTGCTAATTGATATTTACTGAGCAGCTGTTGTGTCCTCACGACTGTAAGGCTATTAGAGAAAGATAGCCCGCCTGCCTAACTGGGAACACAAGGCACACATATATTGGAAAGGTCACGTTGCACAAAACAGGTGTTCAATAAATAATTTTTTAATAAATGTGAACACTCAATAACAAATAAATGTTACAGATTGTAATAGTTGTAGAAGATTGGTTGGGATTGTAGTGACTGGATATGGGGCAATGGCTGTGGGTCTAGAGTATATTCATTGTGCAGTGAACACACACCTAATCTGTCCTCAAGGACAGAACCATGTGGAGGAATAGGAAAACAAGAGAAGCAGGCAGGAAGGGGAGGCCGTGAGTATGACAGCTAAGAAATGTTATATTGGGTTCATCCAGAGCAGGAAAAGCTGAGAGCTGTCCATGAGAGAAGGCCCCATAGGCAAGACGAGTGGGACAGGGGTGTGAAGAAGTGGGCTACAACAGGCCCTGCAGATGTGGAAGCCAGATCCACAGAGGCACTTAGAAAGTGAGGATCCTGGATGAATTATTTTAGGGAGAAAGTATAGGTTTAGATCAGCTGGCAGAGATGTGTTTGTAAGCTAAAGTCATGTTTTTCAGGACTAAAAAGGAGCAAAATAAGTAGACCTTCTTGGGACAGGAGATCTAGGGTACTCCGGAACCAGGAAAATGAGAAATAAGAGGGGAATTTTAAGAAAGAGAGGACAGATCATCTATGAGGCTGGAGATGAAAGGTGTTGGAGATGGTGATGCAGAAGTCAAAGGACTCACTCGAAGGACTCACTCTGCTTATTTGTCCATATTCCCAGAGCTTGTCATGAGATCTGGCCCGGGTGGGCAGTCACTCAGCCACTATGTGTCACTGTGGCTGCCATGGTGGATGGAGGCTGGACAGGTAGTGTGGCGATTGGCAGTCTTTCTGGAGGACTCAGGAGGGAGGGGTTTCAAGGTGGGCATCACCTTTCACGTTCCTGTCCATGTCTGTACTGTTCTTCTTCCCTCCCTGAACAGCACACACCCTGCACCCTTAGTTTCAGGGGTCTGAAAACAAATGCTACAACCACACTGCTTTGGTGGCTTTTCTGAACAGGCAGTGTGAGAAGAGATGTTCTGGCCAGGTGAAAGTGGACTTTATCTTTAGGTAGGTTTTTCAGTTTAGAAAGGTTTCCTTTGCTTATCCCTTGAGGACTTCTGTGCTGCTGCTTCTCCTCCGTCTTGCTAGTTAACAGAACAGGGGCAGAAGTGACACCAGTGCTCTTGGCCTTGCCTGCTTTGGGAAGCACTACTGGGCCCCACTGTTTAGAATGTTAGATGGAAATGTACACAAGGCACTGGCACACGCCTGCCAGAGTGACCCAGTGCTTCTCTCCCATGGGACTCAGGGTCAGCATGGGAAGGCTGCTGGCAGGGACAGGAGCCCCACCCACAAGGTGGACCGAGCCTCACTTCCACACAAAACCAGAATCCCATCTGCCCCAGAGCACTCGCTCTCCTCCCCTTCCTTCCGCTCAATACGGTCTGACATGCCTTTGGCCAGAACTGCAAAATTTCAAACATAAACCCAGATCTGTTGGGAAATCCTAATTAAAAACGTTCCATTCCCAGGTGGCACAATCACATCCTGCCTAAAACTTCTGGCCCACATCCCACCACCCAGATGTTGAAAAGAAACCTTCCTCTGCGTAACACCAAAACTTGCACTTCAAGGTTTCTTTAGGGGACAAAGAAAAAAAAAAAGTACACACATGCAGAGTGCAGCCTACATGTTCATTAAGGAAAAAGAGCGTGGCTTATTCATCTTTCGATCTTTGTTGGCATTATGATTATGATTATGATTATGATTAATTACTCTGACCTGACAGGAATTGAAGAAGAGAATATATGCTGGTGCTCTGAAATGATCTACCCAACTCTGTCATCTGTAACAACCAGTGATAACTCTCTTGTCTTGTAAAAAGGGTTTGTACATAACTTGTACATGGTTTCATTTTGTATTTTTCGCAGATTAAAAATTTATGTATTTGTGTTCTAAAATAAGGAGTGTTTCTTGTGTCTTTGTAGCAGTCACATGCCATGGGGGTGAGAGGTGGGCTGGGGGTGGTGAGGTCCCTGAGTTCTAATCAGTCTGCTTTTGTCTCCTCCCTCCATGCTCCTCCATGAAGGCAAAGTTGTGGATTGATTGAAATCATGAGCTTCCCTTTGCAGCTTCAAGTGCAAATAGACCTCCCCACCTCCATGGTCTTCAAGGAGCCAGTCAGTGGGTGCTGCTTAAGACTGCAATAGGCATGGAGAGAAAGTGCTGCTGTCATTCAACGTAGTGCCTGAGAGCCCTACATAGCCACACTGGGGCCAATGGGACAGGTGCTCCTGCAGAAGGCTCCAGCAAGCAGGGCACTAAAAAAATGCACATCTTTCAATAAGTCCCTGAAAAGCTAAAGCATTTCTGCCCTCAGCCACCCACTCTCAAGCTAGTTACCATTTCCTGCCATTTGCATAGACAAATGGTGTTCTTTCCCCTGCATTTAGCTTATCAAAACTCAGGACAATCTGCTAAAGGTTTGACTCATCCTACTCCACACTCATCCCCAACAGGGCAACAGATGGACATTTTAAAAGCAGAAAAAAAAAAAAAGAAAAGAAAAAGCCCTTAAAAACTAATCCTGCCATGTTGGGCCATGCTCTAAACCTTCTTCAGAATCTTCAGAGTTTGCACTCTTTTCAGGGACCTGGACTCCCAAGGGCAAAGCTGGTCCAGCCTACAGAAAGGGAAGGACCTGGAGAATGGGAAAAAGCCATCCAAGGTATATAGATGTGATGTGTAGAATGTATTGGGATTTAATGCATTCTAGAGATTGTTTCATTTGCTCATTAGCCAAATATTTACTGAATAGCTATTATGTTAACAGTCCTCTGCTGGGAGCTGGGAAAACAACAGTGAGGAATTCTATGATTCCAGTTCTCCAGTCTTGGGGAGGGTTGGGATCAACAAATAAACAGGTGATAGCCATGTATTAAAAATCGATCTCTAGGGGAAAGCACAGTTTGCCATTGGGAACACATCAGAGGGGCACTTAGCTATTTGAAGAGGAGTATACCAATTGATAGATATTTTAAAAAATAAATCCCCCTTCTACCTAAGTCAATAAAAGCCCCAACTGGAACTTATTCCCAGTGGTCAGCAAATGCAGGTTTACCTGTCAGAATGTGCCAGTTCCTGATAGTCCTTTGCGCTCCAGTTTCTCAACTTGCCTTCTCCAATATTTGCTAACAAATCTGAATGTTGTTGGGGAATGTAATTGCAGAGCATATGGTCCCCATTAGTTAGGCAAACTCCACTGCCAAATTCAGCTCCAAGGAAGGAGTCTGCATAAAGGATGAAGTATTAGGAAAACATTGACAGTGACAGAGAAGGCAAATAAAAGAGATGAGACAGTGAGTTACAAAATAGCAGGCTCGGCAAACCCAGCACAATGAATGTGGAACATAATTTTCCATTTGTTGAGAAAACAATATATGTGAATTTGTACTAAAATCTCCCTGTAGCAAAAATCAAAGTAGACCATTCACCAGAATCAATGTTAACTGCTTTGCAATGTCAGATAAGATAGATTCTGCTTGGGAGAAAAACATGAGTGGAACAGAATAGACAGTCTGCTAAGGAAATAAAGCATGAGTGACATCAAAATGTAAATATAGACTTAACGCTATTTTAAATGTTACTGGACCAGCCTTTGAGAGGAGAAACAGAATCTTATGCTTAATAACCTCTCACATTCAGAGAGTATAAAAACATAGGCTAAATATAGTCAGACATGAGGTCCCCTAAGATCCAGGAAAGAAGATCGGACAAGATGAGAGCCTGGGGCTTCATCAGGCAGAAGGCAGATTCCCCAGACCAGTCAAGCTTCTGAAAATCAAAGAGGGACCAGGGCTGAACCTGAACCCAGACTCAGCCTGGCTGCTTGGCCTCCTCTCCCAAGCAGCTGATGCTATGGGTCCTTCACCCCAAAGCCTATCACATGCTCGCTGGTTTTTAGTCTATTGTAATTAACTCACCCTAATTCAACAATTTTTTTTTTTGAAAAAGCACTTTAATTAGGTGTTTCCAAAAATAATCAACTTCATTTTTCTGGAGTCAACAATGTCTTTCCTTCACTTCCATTTCTCTGGTTAACATACTGTTTAATTCAATTGCATACTACAATAACAAGTTCAGATGTTTAAACAAGCTCGAGACTGCTGGTCAGCTCACCTGGTGAAATCCAAAGGACACAGATGAAGTAAGGAGTTCTGTGCAAGGCACACAATTTCAGTACACCACGGAAAGCCGTTAACTTGTTCACAGGAGAAAGGAGACAGACATCAGCTAATCCAACTAGTGGATAACTGGTGCTTATTTAAGAGCGCTTCTGAGGGAAATGACTTTTAATATCTATATGTGGGTGACTATTGAAGTGAATTTGTTCACCCATTCCATGGAGTGCCAGTAAAAAAGATGAGTTAGACTTAATTATTATATATTAGGGGTTGGTGAACTGTGTCTTGAAGGAAAATGCAGCCTGCCACTTGCTTGTTTCCTAAATAAAGTTTTATTGAAACACAGCTATGCCCATTCATTTACATATCGTCTATAGCTGAGTTTCTGATACAACAGCAGAGTTCAGTATCTGGGATAAAGGATAAGGTTCATAAAGCCTAAATATTTACCATCTTACTTTTCACAAAAAAAATTATGCTGATTCTTGGTCTATATTGCTTACAGGGAGAAAATAAAATGTATAGTAGAACACCATTTGTGTTAAACAATTAGGTTTATTTGTTCATCATTAAAACTGGGGAGGAAATAAGGTCAAGTCATAAGCAGTGATTATCAGAGTAGTAGGAAGCAAAGGGGAAAAATTAAGAGACAGGAAGGAGTTTTGCTTTTCACTTTATACATTTCCATTTTATTTAGGTTTATGTAGATCAAACATGCATAATTTTTACTATTGGAAAAATGTTAAAGATAATTCTTTTAGGAAAATTAATAAGTAAGTTTAACTAGCTAACAAAATAAATTTATAATAAATAAGAGCCTATGGTTACCCTGCATTTAAGTGGCATTACCAGGATGTAGTTCTTTTGACTCCAAAGACCATCCCAGAGCTCTACATCTCGTAGCTGCCAGTTTCCAAGTGGCGTGTATAAAGCAGGAAAGTGTGAGACATAGTGACAGTTTATCCAGTACTCTGAGTTTGCTGCTTTGCCACAGTTGTTGAGCTCTGGACCTGCCAGGCTAGCAAGCAGGAGTCTCAACCCCCAACAAACTGTTCTTCCTGTAATTGCATCCCCAGCACCAATGCAGCAGCAGGAGAACTCTACCTGCCCACAGAAGGAGGCTGCAGGCCTGAGCTACCTAATTGTGAGGCTCTGCCTACATTCATCCTCAGTGCTCAACTCAATAGCACCACACTGGGTCCTGACCTCATTCTATTTTGTGCAGTCCTTTTTACATCAAGGCATCTTCCCAAAAACTGATACGCACTCCAAGAATCTTTTATCTATTAATTAATTAAAATAAAATTAATTGAGCACAATAGATTTTGCATACAATTGGCACACATTTTAAAGATACAGAATAAACACTGAAAATAAGTCTCCCTCCCATTTCTGTCTTAGACATCCAGCTCCCCTCCCTAAGACAACCATGGTTAATAGTTTCTTCTTCATCCTTCCAGAAAGTCTTTGTATATACAATCATAATCCAAACATATTATGCTATATACTTTATAACACTTTAAATACACTCTATATACCTTTTTAAAACAATATAATGTGTAGATTTTTTGGTCCATCCATCAATCTTCCTAAGGGCTGCATAGTATTCCATATAAAAATCATCTATTTAACCTTTCCCCTATTGATGATTATTAGGTTGTGTTTATTCTTTGGCTATTTCACCCACAAATGTAAGCATAGCAGTAGGTTAAATTCCCAGAAACGGAATTGCCTTGTCATTAAAAAAAAAAGTTTTAAGTGCAGTTGTAGTTGATTTGCCAAACTATCCCCCACAGAAGATGTTTTAAATCATAATTCTACCCTCTACCCCGGCATTCTGGCTTTCTGCACCCTCTTCTACATGGGTTATTATATTAACCAGGATGCTTTTCACTGTAAGTAATAGAATGTCCAACTAAAAATTAGTTCTGGAAATGGAAAGTCCACAGGTGTGTTAGTTATAGAGTTGGTTGATTCAGCAGCTCAACCTTGTTACCAAGAACCTAGGAGCTTTCCATTTTTATGTTCTATTGTCTTCTTCAACACACTGACAATGGCTGCGCTCATTGCCAAAGGACAGCTACGACTACTGTAGTGGTCACATACAAACAAAACAAAGTTCTATAAATGAAGAAGAGGTTAGTTTTTCTCATGGGACTTTTTTATAAATTGAAGAAGAAACATTTTCTCGAGTCACCTAGTACACTTTCTTTTGGATCCCATTGACCAGAATGAGGTCCCATGACCACACTCAAAATAATAAAAGATTTGATATGAAAAGGGTATAATAATTACACGTTTGACTTAGACTTTGAGCCTCCCATGTTAGATTGGGAGTGAGACCACCTCTTCTACTGCTTAAGTGGGGAATCCAGCAAACAAAAAAGAAGGAGGAGTGGTCATAGAGCAGGCCACCAAATAGTGGCCAATCTGAGATTTGAAAGTAAATTTTCATTTCAACTACATTTAAATTTTTAAATTATGAGCAAAGTTAAACATCTTTTGACATTTTGTTGCCAATTTTTCCATTTATATTTCTCTAACTGAACTTCCTATGTGATTTACTTTAAAGTTACCTAGTTTTTTAATTTCTTAAATAAATTTCTTTTTAAAATTTCAAAACTAGCATATGCTCACCATAAACAATGAAAATATATTTATATTTAAAGTAATCTCCTCAAACCTCCTTTATATTTTCCACTCCTCCATTATGAAACCAATGCAAATGTATAAAATAGGTGGGGAAATGTTTAATAATTTTTTGGCAAATAAAAAGC